TCAGATCTCTAAATGTAAGAATCGGTTTTATTAAAGCCCTGAAGTTCCTTTAATGCAGATGGCCTTACGATTGCATACAAGGGTATGAATACTGGCTCCTCTCCGTATAATGAACTTAAAGAATACTGTTTATCTCTGAAAGCCACTACGGTACACCCCCCCTCCCAAAAAACGACTTAATAACCCTATAATGGAAGGACTATGTAGTTGACTTAACATATATACATGAAAATGTACATCAAGTCCGAATAAATCAAAAAAGGATAGGGACTTCTCTCCTCTCCAAATTTGATAGCGTAGTAATCTCTATTTCCATATCTGCTCGTGCCTCTCCTTTCTTTCCCCATTTGCAGAAACAGCTGCAAGTCGACATTTGATGTTCAAATTCAGTCTGAACGTGATTACTTTATGGGAATAACACCTGCTCATTGACGCCAATAATTATTGGACTGCTCCCACTCTTTCGCAAATTCTGGACCATCTTCAAGATTAACTCACCTACTCGTCATGATTTTTCTTGCGACGAACCGTCTGACCATTCCCAACAGTATTAGTAGCAGAGTCATTCTGAACAGATGATTAAACCAGAGACCAATTAAAATATTGGCTCAGGACGTCACTTACCTGCAATGGCTCCACACCAAACATTTTCTAGTACTCTGTACCAAGAAACCTTTTCATATGGAACTTACTACGCACCAAATACACTTCTCGAATGATGCCGCCTATGCTAATACAAAAGATACCCGAAGTCTATGGACTATTGACTGTTTCAACATCTATTTTCATCCAATACAACATGTATTCCCAGCAGAATTAATCTATATTACCTTTAGACGTAACATGGTGTCCTGGATATGCATTGATATAGCCAAACACGTTGGTTATGTAACTGTGGATACTTTATTGATACTCCAGATTGTATAAGTGGGTCCTTTGTGGTTAGCAAACTAAAAACTGAAGACCATTCTAAGTAATGAACTATTATATTACTAATCAGCAAACTATGCGAATGGACTAACAACGTCGGTCGGTTACAACGCAAACTTTGATTGCTGCGCGCTTCTGATATTGATAATGGAACCTGTCTATGTGATGGGAGATGGCAATCCATATCCGTCTCATGAATTTCAGCAAATTTCAATAGGATTATGCACACTAATGACTTGATACGTAAATTATTTAATACTAGATACTTTCAAAAGTTATGAATTTGACGGTGCTTGTTAACTGGTATCCCTCACGTTAAACCTGTTAAATGAAGACAACATTTTTCTATTATCTAAACTTTAACACTTTATGTACGCTGTAAAGTAATATTTCCTTGTTCATTTCATAACTAGCAGGACCTTCGGCAGTTTTTAATTGAGTTTAATGACATTCCGTCAGTACCACTCAGGGCTCAAGTCTTGTAGATATTTTGAGATGTATCAACGTGATGAAGCCTGTAAACTGGCTTCTCTCATGTTAAGATCTTTTTTTAACGCGAGAATAAAACATTTATTTATTTGTCTATTAACCCAGCCGCGCCCTCCAATTTGATGGAGCCGAGTGGCGACCGAGGATCAGATCCAATGGCTGCGCTTCGAAAAGTCGTGCATTTATTATTGAGTCACATTGCATGAAATACAATGACGGAAGACCACATCAGACTGTCGATGGGAAAGCGTATATAAAAGTTCACAGAAATTGTCCAAGGTGAGCTCATTATGTTGGTAGTCGAAAGATGGGTCAAAACGTGTCTGGGCTAGATCACCAATGAGATAAGATCAAAGGATCAGACGGTGAACGTTACAGAATTGCTGTTTGCTACATAGAGCAGTTTAATTTATCGCACACGATTTCAAACTTATAACCGGGATCGATCTAATTGTCATATGGTTTCCCCAGAGAGCGATTTGCACTCAAGATGTCTTGTCTGCATTTGCAACCGCTGCTGTTGCCGGATAACCAAGCTGGGCTTGCTAGTCTTACTAAAAGAAGATTTCGATGACAGACTGACAGCTTATGCCTGGAAGAAACGAAATGACTAGATCCCAGCACATGTCTTTCGCTTGTCATCCTGTCAGAACAACTCATCACCGCTAGACTACAGCATATCGTATCTGAAGTGCAAACCACTGCTTGCAGCTTTTCAGCAGTGTCGACAGCACAAAGAAAAATTCAGTGCTTTCCCTACCCCATATATCTCTTACTGAGGCAGGCTCTTTAATTCCGCTATAGTTTTTAAAGGTATGTATGAAACTGCATTATGTGCTAGTGACAGAACGCAAATTCCGCTCGGTTTCGTCGTATGACTAGTCAGCCAGCTTCTTTGGTTAAAAAGACGTGAAAATGAAGATCTGTATAGACAAAAAGATTCAGTTTTCATTGGTCACAAAAGACTTGGAACGCAGTTGTGAGACTAAGTAATTTAGAGAGGTTACAAAAGATCGTGACAAGGTTGAGACCGCAGAAGTTTGCCTTGTCACATCCAATATGCAGGCACTATGCAGGCCAATCACCGGGTACCAGAGAGCCCATGAAAAAAAAAGGTCTACCAAAAACACATGTTTAGAACCATGTAATTTCTGAGTGCAGAATAGTTGACACTACTCGGTGAATTGCACTTTTTAAGGATGATGAAAATTTCAATGTGTGAGGAACCTCGTCGACCATCGGTTTCTGACTTCCCCCACACAGTGCATGCTGGCATAAAAACAAGACAACACCGCAGCCAGTTCTACCTGCAAATGATAGTCTGTGCACCGACCAACTTGTCACAGGCTAGCAAGATTAGCAGAAGCACTGGCAAAATTTAATAAAATTTGTCCAAATAGTTGACGCGGTTTACCTAGATAGTGGCATTTTGTAATTCATGGGATAAAATGGTTTTTGTGCAAGTTCCTGTGGAATAACAAGCGGCATCACACGAACAGAAGACTGGCGAATGATTTGGGATGATCCAGCTACATGGGTACTATCTTCATATGTACATGAAATTTCATGCAAATCCACTTCACACAGGATAATCCAAGAAACTAGCTACTTCAGCATCACTGGCAGGCCACTTGCTTGAAATGAAGACACGTGGCGCGGACTAACTTAAAACTTTGTCCCAGGAGCAGTACACAGTTCAGTGGTGGTAGGTGTGGTTCAATGCCAGTAACATTTCTTCTTGTAGGAAAAATTGTCCTCAAGTGTCAGTAAACCTCTCGAGTTTCTCAGCAAGCGATGAAACAACGGTGGTAGCTACCATCTGTCAAGATGATGCATTCACTCCGAACCTGTGGCTATGAAATCGCAAAAGTGATATGGGAATAACAGTTCCAATACACAAAACTATGTGACTTAATGGGCTGGCAGGGATGGCATGCAGGCAACAAAACGCAAATTAGCATTGAACCAGATGGTATGCGTGCCTGATAGTATATTTCCAATTCATCCGAAACGGTGAAGATCTTTAGGAATTATCCTGGTTCGAACTTGACAGACGTAGAGGCCAGTCACTAATTATTCGAACCTGCTATATACCCATGAATATGAGACCAAGAAGGAACACAACGGCGTAGCCAGTATATAGACAGAACAGTATATTTGTCAGCTCGTGCCAAAATATGGATGCGTTCCGACTACTTGGCTAGAGGGTCGATTACCAGCAGTGGAACGTAACACGATGGCGTGCCAAATGGCGGGGATGCTTGACCAAGTGGCTTCAGCTTAGCGGGTCCAGTTAAACTATGAAGGTCAGCATCAATGATGAATCCCGTCTAACCTTGGGGTATTGATTCTGGAGAAGCGTGTGACGCTACAGGTCAGTGTTCAATGTCGTATTCAATCCATGGATTATTGGCACTAGGAATTTATTTTCCTAATTCTTCACACCTCATTGACGTAGTCATATAGATAGCTCGTTTATTTTCGAACGTCATTCGCCTAAACGTGGAGACATATCTGAAGCCCAAAGAACCCTATCAGAAGTCCACGCCATAATGACCTAGGGATTGTAATGGTCAGCGGATAGATACTCTACATATTGGAGCAATGCTGAGTTAACATCCATTTTGCAGAAGAGTCGTAGCAAATAAATGTATGGAGTGTCAAAATTTTTTATTCAGTATTGGCCATCCTGTTCACCACTAGCTTCAGAAGAAAAAGAGGTGATGTTAAAAGCGTTCATTGATTTCTCAGCAGGTACAAGGAACGCTCTTTTCAGTGAATGATATTTCAGTGGCAAAAACTCGACAACCTGAAATCAGGAAGTGAGAGCTAAGTCTGTGAGGTTTCACAGACCATAAGTAAACAAGATTTGTTTAGCTCTTCGGAATAATTGCTCAATGAGTGGTCTGTAAATAGCGCAGTCTTCAAAACACCACCTAACGGAAATGAAATAAATTTCGTAGGGTTGTCTCTTGTTATCTGTAAGCGATTATCCAAATTGACCATTCTTTAGTTCTCCTTGTGATAAGATCAGATGCCAGATGTGAGGTTCCTGATAAGTATGTGAAAACATTATTCTCATTTGAAAACGGAAAAGAAACTACTACGCAGATACTTAAGTCACAACTGATACAGACCATTGAAAGTCTCTGGGGATCTTGTCATATTATAGTGGCTGAAAATCAAAATCCAGATGCTGTGGAAGATATTGTAGTTTTATACAAGAATGCGTAAGTCTTTATACGCCATTTATATATCACTTAGGACGAAAGATTGCTTTTTCTGCTACGATTTTATTTTTCGCAGCCCAAATGTCATACAATATAGAAGAAGTATGCAATTTTCTCATGCAAAACTGATAATCTTTCTATAGGTCAATGCCAGCGACCCGAATACAGCTCAAATGAATCTACTATTTGTACGTCTCTAACAGCTGCCGAACTGGAAACAGGCTTTGTTCGCTCTCGTGAAGACTATTCAGATTTCAACTGCAAAAGCATTATTGAAGGGATTTATGCATTTGATTACCGAATTGTCGGAAGTACTGGATTGTGTAGCAGCCCATTTAGCTTGATTAAAGCATGTCAAAGACAAGGTTCTCCTCTAGGGACAATTCAATTTTGGAGCAAACGTTTGGTTATTGTCCAAATTTTCAGGACAGGTCGATTCTAGAAGATCCTAATATTGTTTTTGGCAAGGCTAACATATGGCGGTGCTACGGTCGTTGGACAGATAAGAGTGGTAACATTTGGGCTGCGATAGCTTATGACACCAACCAACTCAGATTCCGATACCGCTGTTTAACCACACGCATAGACCAACAAAATCCCCAAGATATATCTTATTGGGGTAGGTGAAGAAAACTGTTTTAACACTGAAATGATTAGCTGTAGTATTAAATGCTTCTGACTGTGAATTCCATATATTTTTTCAGAAGTTCGAACTTCAAAAGGATAGGTGTTTTTAATATTTACAGACTGCCTCTGAAGAAAACCATCTGGACAGTTCACATTTCGGAATTTATATTAGTTGAAAGCATATTTTACTTACCTCCGATCTACACCTGAATGATCTTTGATGCAAACTTCAGTTGCTTTACTTTTCACTTTTCGGGCAGATGTTAATCTACAAAATTAAAAATTAAGCTGCGATAATTCCTCACACTCAGAAGCCTAAACTTTTGTGGGACTTTCGACTTGATCCTGAAAACATTTCAGAAGGCAAAGTAGACATCAGCAATCTGTCAAGGAGTCTCAATCATCCGACTAAGAAACTCACTCTAGGAATGCAGCCTATAAGCTTATTGAGCTGGATTCCCAGTATTTTTACTCAGATGAATAATATCAAAAATTAGGGACAAAATACAGAGATTATACGGATTTTCAATACGCATGAATTTGAAGTCATTTCCCCTAAAATAAGGAGGTTAAAATAGATAGAAAGTACAAACGTGTTACTTACTATCGAAAAGTTTCATGATACTGACCTCATGGTCATATTATGTAACTGTTATTTATGAACTCAACTCAATGTGTTTTGGTGAACTCAACCACTTACTTTGAGAGCATATGCTTTGAGCCTACACGATACAAAATATTTACTTGAGGGGATATTGCAATGCTAAACTGCCCTCGTACTCTAATTAGTGATTCCGAAACTTTTTGTTGTTTAATCAGAATCCGACTAAACATTTTACGGAAACCAATTTTTGTTATCAACAAAAGTTAATGTTTCTTCGCTGGTATATATCCTTCAACACTTCTACATTATTCATGGGTATAATAATAAACAGTTCACCATCAGTAAATCATCCCCATACTTTACCTTTAAGACGTTTTGATGCTCATATTTCAATCTTCAGGAGTGCTTCAAATGGAGCAAGCTTTAGGCATACCAAATCATGAACTGTGTGTGATCTATGGTAGACTAAGTGATAAGGTGTCTACAGGCAGTTTAGAGTACGTGCTATCTTTATAAGTTCTAGAATCTCACTGAGAATTCAGGAGGAATGTATTCATCGCCGTACTTATCTTTAAAGCTACTACATAAGTGTGGTCAGTTGTTCATATTGCTCGTAAAAAAGAACCGAAGTGTAGTTGTCTTGTCAAAACTGATTCAGTTGGTAAATATGCTGATAAACAACACTCTAAATAAATCTAACCCTACGTTTAAGATATTCATGATGGGAAGTGGCTAGAAGTGGAGTCCAAGACGCGCGTTTAGTTCTATCTGGGCCCCGTCAATTGGATGTATCTCTGTTCCAGTGAGCTACGTTTTTCCCACTAAGATTCCACTGTTAGCCGCTATTTGTCAATAATATCAAAATAGGAAATGCAGGCAGTGTCGAGATATCCATACAGATGCTCGTATACCAATGGAGACCGATTACTTCGGTCCAGTCAACAACGGGCTAACACAAGTGAAAACGTTACTACCTTCAGGAGTCTTTGTTTTGTGATTTCATGCCTTGAAAATGGATTTTTACGAACCATTTTATCCGCAAAATGACCGAAAACTAAGTGTCTCTGTCCACCAAATTTACATAAAAGAACCAATCAAAGTGAAAATTAGTAATTTGCTTCGCACTGTACGCATTTTCTAAATATAGGCTATGGTCAAGGCCCTACTCACTTTTAAAAACTGTCTTCAAACAACTATCCCAAGTCCAACAACTTTCCTCAATATATTCTTGTTTAAAAAAAGATCGATCAGTTTCTATTTAGGATGTGTGATAAAAGAAGTGATGAGTCCATTCTAACACAAGTGCATGCTCTCAACCTTTATTTCTACCTGTAGTCAAAGTAGTACTTTTAGTAATTAATTTTTTGACTGTATATCGCCGACTGCTTTTCTGTATTACCTTTGAAACCTCAGTAATACATGAGAGAGGTCGACTGTGGTCTAAATATCTTGATGACAGCATCCTTAACTTTAATGATGCATCACTTGGTTCGAGCCCTTGAGTAGGCATCGATTCTCTCAATGATGCTGATGTGTCCTGCTGACAAGTTCCAACAGACACAAAGCCTAGCTTTAGAAGGGATTTCTGTTTATTGATTCAAACCAATTAAAACCGAAGTGGATCATTATGATGAGTCTTCTTTCTTAGAGATCAAGCTACAAAATGATGGATGAAATGAGCTTAGTACCTCGAACTAAACAACATGGATTTCAGCTAACCTCCAGTTACCATTGAATGTCAAAATGAAATTTATTGCATCTTGAATGGGATTTCAATCAAAATACGTAAGCGTTACTGAGGTGGAATTATGTTTTACATGTGCTGTCCAGGCTACAAATCATTTGCGCTCCTATTTGACGATAACTAAAACTGCCTGATTGTTATTTTACTTTTCTCTAATATTGATAGAATAATGAACTGACCCCATTATTATTATCATTGTTCCCTTGGGTTCCTAGTGGAACATAGGGCTTCAGTAGCACGTCTCTATTTCACTCTATTCTCTGCAGTCTTTTGAACCTGTGCCACGACTGCCCACAAGGTTTCATTTCTTCCTCATGCTATCTCCTGCATGTCACCTCGCCTCGGACGCCCAACTCATCGTTTCCCCTTTGGATTCCACTCGAAGGCCTGACGTGTAATCTCCCCATTCGGCCCTCTCAGTATATGCCCAATCCATCTCCATTTCTTCTGCATATTTGTTGGGTGATAGCTTCTTGGTTGGTTCGTTCCCGGAGTTCCTTGTTGCTTATTCTTATTATTCTGGCCATCTGATCTGATCTTCAGTATCAAGCCAGCGTAGACAGCTGTTGATGAGTGTCTGTAGTCTGTTGAAATGCTTTTCGTGATGCGGCAAGTTTCCGAACTATACAGCTGCACTGACTTGACATTTTATTCCAAGTGGTCAGGCGTCCTAAGATTCATTTGGCAACCAGGATTACAGAAATTGAAATGTCCCACACAAGTGACATGACTTACTTGCTCCTCGCTTTCAATTATCACCCATCTTATATTTTTGTTTCGCTTAATTAACCTTATCCTAATAACATCGTTATTAGTGTTATTCATCTCAATACTTGTTTTTCTTACTATTTCTGTTTAATTACTATTAAGTATCTTGTTTTGAATGAAGTAATCTACTCTGTGTTTCAACCCTTGAGTCAGCATTACTATTAGTACCACCCAATCCAGTGACTGAATGGTCAACGCGTTTCCCGTCAAACCTGAAGGCCCTGAGTTCAATTCCTTCCCGAGTCATTGCTGAAGAATCTCATACTAGGATGAAACAACTATCCAGTACTTCCAGGTTTTCAATGGTTTTCTAACTGATATCACTTCGTGATGAAGGCTAACATATCATTATTTTCCTACCTGAAATTCACATGACACTCAAAGTGTACTACTACTCAAGCTCATAGTTTATTATATAACTTATCCCCCAGCTCATTCAATTTTATACCCTTTGGATACATACAGCCCCATCCGATCTATGAAGTACTTCAAGCTACTAGTTTCCAGACTTGATTTGAATAAATCAGCCAAATAGGACCCAGAGGGCTTCTCATTGCGACCCCATCAGTTTGGCCGAACATCTGTCCGTTGAACTGGAATTGAATATTCTTGGTGCATAGATTTAGAAGCTTTCTCAAGTCGTTTGTTTGGATGGAGACAATAAAGTCTGTGGTTTCATCAACTGGTACACAATATCAAATGAAACAAGATGCTTACCAGTACTAATGAAATAGGCGATGCATCGAAAAAACTGAAAGGCATCAGAAACAGTGTGTTTCCCTAGATGTTTGCGCAATGGCTCACGAATTACACAAAACCATTGACCTACTTTATGGTAGTCTTAACTCATCAATGATAATATAAACCTTAAAGGCATCCTTGGCGTATATATTTTACCACGCCCGTATAACTGGGATCTCTGATCCAATTGGTTTAATGCTCTTAAATGTGATTTTATCAATGTATTTAACCTTGAGAAGTTGTTTTAGTTGGTGTGCCATCTGCAATTCAGTGGATGACGTTTTCTCTTTGGCATCACTGTCCGATTTAAATTTCGAGTTTTCAGGGAGTATTTTATGCATCGATGTAACATAATCTGCTTTGTATTTTCGAGATGAATGGGGATTTTAATTTAAGGTAGTACTCATCACGAACTGCCATCGGTTGGGGGGGGGGACTGTTGAGAAGTTGGATGCACTGACGGCTGCTTCGTCCTAGTATGGGACTCTTCAGCAGTGCGGGCCCATGACTCGGCTAGGGGTCGAACTCAGGACCTTTAGGTCTCACGGGGAATGCGTTAACCATCCACGTACTTGTATCAGTTCGCGTTATAGCTCGACTATCACTCAAGGTCTTCAGATGGCATCCGCTTCCCTCCCGACTGGCTGACCTAGGTTTCCAATGGTTCCCAACTGATGTCAGTCCATGATGAATACTATCTCATAAACTTTTTGTTTATAAGTCACACATTACTCTTTGCTATTTTGAAGTTCACGTAGCGATCTCAAGTGTTCTTTAGAAATAGTCTCTTCTTTCTTAGCTAGTTGTTGTTCAAAATTAATATATGATATTTACTGTCTTGGATTTAAGCCAACTTTCACTGTCGTTGGAAGTAGCGCAAAGAGTCGTGAGCTTCAACTTGATTTATTTTATATTCTCTGAAGCCACAAACCAATTTATATCCCGTAGTGAAACATCAGAGGAATTGTGAAAGTAATCTAAAGAAATGGATGGAAAAAATTTTATCATTTGAAGAATTAGGAAATAATGACCTTTTTAAACTTCTGTAGAGTATTCAGGTGACGAGTACCACTGAAATTCATTAAATCTTACATTATGTCTATTCGTTGCTTGTTTTAATTTTGTATTGGGAAACAAATGTTTTCAATTTTCTTTTGAATAAAATGAAGCTGTTTTATTTGTCAATCTTTTCATTGCAGGAATGTCAACTAGTTCTGATTGTAAAGTTTTACATAATTATAATAATGCACCTATCAGACTTGAACTTCGACCTGCTTTTGATCCAGATAGTCAAATAAGTGAATTACAGCCAGGATGTAAGCTACCTACAAATTTCAGTGGTCATTGGTTTTATCCCAGTGAATATCAAACCTCCGTAAGTTTTTTAAAAACTGAAGAGATGGAGATGATTATAATATTAATTAGAATGTAACATTTTTCAAGTCGGTATTCATCATGGATTGATATCAGTTAGGGAACTATTGAAAATCTGGGAGCACTGGATAGCTATTTTGCCTTGGTACGGGACTCTTAAGCAGTGCGCACCCCTGACCTCACTCCACCAGGAATCGAAACCAAGACTTTTAGGTTCCATGGCCAGCATGTTACCATTAATCCACTGAATCGGAATCCAGTGGTCCATATACTCAACTTCTGTTGGTTCTCAACGTAGTACGATCGTCATTCAATAGTATCGTTGAGTATTTGTCCTCACGGTCATCAAGTTTTCCCAACCGGTCATGACTTCTCTTTAGAACTTCAGGAATCATCTCTCGAAGCCAGTCACCTATGAGTGCTAGATCAATTTAATTTCAGGGTTTGTTGGGATTTAGTGATTTTTCAAGTTGGTATTCATCATGGATTGACATTAGTTTGAGGAACGTTGGAAACCAACTGATGTCAGTCTACGATGAATATAAACTTGAAAACCGCTAAATCCCCACAAACCTCCCAAATTCTATTAAAATATAATATATTTTATTCATTTTTATGAGCAAACCTATTGAGCATCATACTCATCGTAGGTTAACAGTAGTGAATTATTGTGATGTAAGTGTTAGTACATTTTCCTTTTGCCATTTTCTGTTATGTGAGCTACAATTTCATATATTTGCGTCCGGTTCTAGTTCTTGGTGTTTTGTTTTATTTTATGATATATTTAATACGTCACCATTGTTTTCACTTTTTTTCATATTGCTGTTGACTAACCTTCATCTTGGAAATTATTTTTTACATATTATGCAACTTTAAATTCTATCCGATTAATTCTGTTGATTTTTATGCTTTTTTATGCTTACCTTGTGTCACACTTTGAATTTCTACTCTTCATTCAACTTGATCTTTGTTACCAGGCTTAATGAAATAATTATTGTAACTGTTCAATAATGTTAAACAAAAGTGTATAAATTACGATTCTAGAGGTTTAGAGAATAAATCTCTGAGAAAGATATCTTCGCTGAACTTCTTGTTTTCTCTAGTGTTCTTAATGGATATTTTCAGTAATTTGAAGAACATTATGTTAGACTAATATTTGTTGATATGCTTATAATTCTGGGATTCCTCTACTAGCCACAACCAAGTATATGTTATCATAATAAATAGTCAGGTAATATCGAAGCATACGCATAAGAGCCCATATCCCAATAGAGGTGATGAATGGGGATTTTTAATTTAGAAGTAGTATTCATCATGGAATAACATCATTTGGGAAACCGTTGAGATGGTTGAATGGTTAATGCGTTCTCCTTGAAACCTGAAGGTCCTGAGTTCGATCCCTAGCCGGGTTGTGGTACATAGTGCTGAGGAGTCCCATACTAGGACGAGACAGCTATCCAGTGCTCCCAGATTTCCAGTGGTTCCCCAGCTGATGTCAGTCCATGATGAATACTACTTCTAAATAGTAATTAGTTATCTGCGTTTTATTTATGTGAATAAATAATCATCAATGACATTTACTCCTCTTTTTTTAATCTTTTATAATATCCTATAGGTTGATATTAATGCAACACACATATATATGAAACGAAAACAAGCAAACTTCTTATATGATCATATCTATTTTGTCTGCAAACAACAACAAGAATCGCGTTATTTAATGGCAGTTGTAACTCTTGGTAAATGGTAAGTTTTAAAATGAAATAAATGACTATTGATAGAGAATGCTTTTTTATAGAAAATAAACGGTTTCCGGACAAGTTTGGTAATCTTTAGTGTTAAGTAGCACTCCTCCACTTGTTTGTTAGATGACCATGTTCATCAATGGCCACTTTTATATTTATTCCCACCTATCCTGAAAAGGTATCCAGAAGTCCAAGAAAAGTGGTACTTTTCAAACTGTAGTCATAAAAAGTGTTTTAGTATATTAACCATAGCGTAATAACTTGGATGATTGCCCACTGAGTTCAAGTTGTTGGTGTAATACTACAAAGTATTATTCATCATGAACTGACATCAGTTCGAGAACAATTAAAACCTTGGAGTACTGGAAAACTGTTTCATCCTGGTATGGAACTCCTCAGCAGTACGCACCTACAATCCCGCCAAAGTTTTATTCCCTGTATCGCTAATAACCATCGGTTAACGCAAAACCTGAAATACAAAACTGTTTTGTGACTGTATTTATAATACAAAAGATAAGACACATTATTGCAATATTTCAGCTAATTGTAGCATAATATCCCATGATTGATGTAGAATAGGATTAACACAGACTACTGGAAGATCTGCTTGAATTTTGTTCACTGATCACTTCATGCTACTCATCCTAACTTATTATATTCATCTTGGTGACTAGTAGTGGAATCAAGGAATCAGGTGTTCTCAGAGCTTTCTCATTCTGCCGTGAACGTTTCATCACTAGGCTTAGCGACATATTCACCACTAATTTCATAAAGAAAGAAGAGAAGCATAGTAGTGTTTTTATTGGCCTTGGACGTTGTCCACTTGTAGGTTGGGGAAGAAATTTTTATCAAACCATCACCTCTTTGACCTTAAATTTCCTTCGGTCATGTCGTAAGATATTCCTTGTTGGAGTGAAATTGTGCTGTTTGCTGTTGTTACACTGTACATCATTATTGATTTGTCCGGTCAATTTGTCCTTGGCTGATGGATGACTGTTTTCTTCCTAAGTAGATTGTAGTTTGGGTCTATATCCACATGTTTGTTGATTGATATTTCGTTTGAATGGCATACTTCTAGAAATTCTCTTGCAACTTTGGAACCTGCTCTTTGAAGGATTTCCACATTCTCCCAATGAAATTCGTGACCGTAATTGTCTGCATACATTGAAATCAAGGAGGCTGCATCATATCGCTTTACTACTAGTTGGTGTTCATGAATTCTTTGAGGAGTTCGACGGCTAAACTGACCGACATAATGCTGTGAATAACTTTTGCAACTGATTTTGTAGATTATATTTGTCCTGTCTTCTTTTGGCAATGGATCCTTTGGTTTACACAGTATGCTGTATAGTGATTTCGTTGGTTCGTGTGTTACTGTGATTTTGAAAGGACAAGCCATAGTTTTACTGTTTCTGAGATATCTTTGATGTAAGGTAGTGTAATGTGCCTATTGATTTGAGGCAGTTACCATATCTTCTGTCCCGCTGATGAGCACTTACTGATAAAGTTGGTTGGATAATCATTGGTTTTAAACAGTTGGTGCCGGTTATTTTTCTTCGGCCCCCTGTAGTGCTTCAGTGCTGCAATGTGTTTTGGCTCTTGAAAATAATGTTTGTACACAACATTTCTTATGGACTGTAGAATGATTGGTGTTTTAGTTCAATATTTGATCTGTATTTCTGGTTTTCCTGCACACTTAAGTTTGTAAGACGAAGATTTCTTCCCCAACTCACAACCGGATAACATCTAAAGTCAATACAAACAAATTGACAGAAGAGGCAGCGAAGGAAGACGAGACTTCAAGTGAATGTAGAGAAGATAGAGGTGATGAAGATACACAACCAACACCACCACCACCAACAACAAGCTCCAGTCACCATCAACGGGAGAAACTTAAAAGAAGTAGTCTCTTTCACCTGTCTAGGCAGCACTGTTTCAACTACAGGTGGCACTGACGAGAACGTCAAAGTCAGGATCGGAAAAGCAAGACAGGCGTTCATTAGCTGAAACCAGTGTGGAGATCTTCTGCACTCCACTCAGCATAAAGCGTGAACAAGGTCCAGATTTTCAACTCCAACGTCAAGTCAGTGCTTCCATATGGCTGAAAGACTTGGGGCGTTACGATAGGCATTTCCAACAAACTACTGACATTCATCAATAACTGCCTACTCTGGCTCGTTACTGAAGCTCAGATAGTCAGAAATAATAAGCAACAAGGAACTCTAACTGGTGACGAACCAACCGAGAAGCTATCGCTCAACAAATATGCACTGGAAGGAAGTGGAGATGGATTGGGCATACACTGAGAAGGCCGACTGGGGACACCACGAGTCAGACCAGGCCGTCGAGTGTAACCCCGATGGGAAGCGACGAGTTGGGCGTCCGAGATGAGGGTGACATGCAGGAGATGGTGTGAGGAGGAAATGAGAGCTTGTGGGCTGTCGTGGAGTCAGGTTGAAAAGATTGCAGAGAAGAGAGTGGAATGGATACGTGCTACTGAAGACTTATATTCCACTAGGAACCCAAGGGACAATAATAATATAATAAGGTCAATACAAACACTATCCAAACATTCATGTAATAATCAGTTGTGCTTCACTTTTTTCTGTATGAATTTAATGCTGAAGATATCGCTAAACCTAGTGGTAAAACGTTCACAACACAATATCAAAGCTTAGAAAACATCAAACCACCATCACAAGAAATAATACTGTCTATTGTAATGTCTACAGAATTGAACAAGATGTTAGTTTAACTGTGAGTCTACTGTTACAGCAACACATAGTAGTGTTTAAGCCAACCTTAGCATTCGATTATCAAGTTATCGAATTAGTTCAGCATCGATATTCATAACTCTATCTACAATGTCAGCATAGGATTTTCTGCTAATAAATGTTGCGTAATAAGGATAGCAGATTTTACGGTATAACTGTTCAGACAAAACAAGAGGTTCAACTGAAAGGTAGACATCGCTGTTATAGACATCAGTTTGCTGAATTAAGTTACATTCCATATTACTGCTCTGATGTGATCACATTTACTAAGAAACGTTCGACAAATTCCTCAGGATTGGTTTAGCAAAACGCTAAACTACTCACTTAGTAGTTTGGAACAAATCACTAAAATTGAGTACTCATAAATCATTTGCCTATGGTTTGATTGGTTGATTTCTGCATCAGCCATTTTCTGTCATATACAACTTCATACTATTTGACTGAAGGCAGTGGAGCTACAAATATTATCTTTACAAGAACAGTATAATACAAAGCTATAGCGAAAGTGTTCACTTCCATCAAAGGGTCGGTGAATTAGACATGCAAGTTCTTGGATAACCCATTGACACAATGAAGGATACTCAGAGAAAAAACTTATATCATTATCGAAAGTGATAGGATATTTGTTAGTGATTCCTCTTGATGTTAGTTATTTTCTTCTATCAAAGCAGTCTGCATGTCTGAAGATGATTTCATCAACACATCATAAATTGAGACGAATTGGGTTGTAAACTAAAAGTAAGTCATCGTAAGATTCAGAAGTATGGATTTTAGTTTGCTGACTAGACATTCTATCAAATGAAACATAAAAAGTTAGCCTCCAATGCGTAGGTCTCAATTCCACTTTAGGCATGGACTACTTTAACAGACTACTGTATGAATGGGAGGCAAGTAAAAATGTTTTATACCTAATCATACTAGCCGGTTAGTCAGATTTTCTAACCTTATTCTAAACAGAATGCCGGGTGTCAGGTGAGGCTAGAAGTTATCCCCAAGTATTATAGTGTTCTATATGAAAACAAATATTTTCTGTGCCTTGTAAGCACATATTTTGAAGTGAAAACTGAAATCATAAATCCTTTTGCTGCAACTTAAGGGCTGAATTAACTTACTTTGATTTGTGAGCGTCATTCTTCATAAACAAATGTACTTACATACCAACTAGGAGGTGAAAGTGTAACTAATACTTTGCACATGAATAAACGGAATGAAACAATGATTATCATTTGAGTATCGGAGATGGCCATAGTTTGGCAGACTAGTATTTTATACTGGTTGATGATTTAAGGTGAGATGAAGATCTGGACCGCGGCCGGATTCGAACCAGAGGCCACCGGCTGGGTGCTCTAACAACTAAGCTACGAGGTCCGATGGTAGCTGGTTCAGATCCAACCGCGGTCCAGATCTTCACTCACCTTCAATCATCACCCAGTATAAAACGGAATGAAACATATTGTTATGATACTTGTAATTTCCCTTTCATATAGGCGGCTGAAGTGCTCAATGTCCGTTGGCATTTAGGCTCCTATACAGATGCCTTGATGATATTATATTGATCTTGATGACTAGCGGAGGAATCCGAGCTGGGTATTTCGTCCTATTTGGGACCCATAAGCTGGATATACCTGCACCCCAGTGATCCCACTATGGCTGGAATCCGGTACCTGTCACTTCGAACGCCAGTGTTATCCACTAAGCCAGTAGAACACGACAGCCACCTCTTGTGCAACCGGTGTCATTTGTTGTTATGATACCTGTAACTTCCTGTTGCGACAGATACTTGGTTCGAGCCCAGTGGAAACAACATCACTCACTGGGTTGCAGGTACATCCAGCTTATGAGTCCCAAATAGGATGAAGTGCGCGTCCTGGATTACTCTGCTAGTCGCCAGATCAATATAACGACATGATACATGATTCAGTGACAGAAGGCGTTTTAAAAACTATACAAATATGTAAAATATGAATGCAGCATACAGAAAATACGCGGATTTACTTACAGAATGCTATGTCCCATAACAAGCACGATACCACCTAGGTATAACTTCTAGCCTCACCCCGGGATGTACGGATTAATGATTCGAATTTTGTACCATCGGTGATTTTTTCTTAAAGTCCGATCATTGTTTGAGTTTATGAGCACCACGCAACCAACTATGGTTATGTTGGAAAGTTTAATTAGAATGCAATGTATTCCCTTTTATTTTTGTTCTATTTTAAAAGTGAAACAGATTTCATGTGTATGGATTTTATGCCAAGACATCACAATATAATACGTTTTCGTATGGGTAGACCATTTCCATTATTACCACGTGAACGTCAGTCAATGGGTGCAAGTTATATGCAACGATTATATCGTGAAGCTTGTCACTGGAGTTCTTTTACACTGAATTATATAGAATGGACATATGAATATTTTATTCAAGATCCACCAACACCGATCAATTGCCCCATACAGGGCAAATTTAAATTTATTCAACGTGGTCAAGAACAAGAAAAGTATGTAACTAAGATACCTGGTGGAATGACTCCTAGACCATGGGTTCAGGTAAGATGTGTTAAAAAACCTTTTTACTGGTGTTCATTTGTGTTAGAAACTTGAAAAAGTTGTTTATACTGACGTCCATTTTATGCCTTTCTGTAATGTTTTAACATGCTGTATCCAGTGTGAAATTTTTCCATTGAATCATAAAAGAAAAACTTAGTCAAACAAATTTATTTTCTGTGATACCATTCTTAGAAGCTTTACAATCAACAAAAAGATAGACAGATTATTGCAGAATATAGCAAAGAAGTGCATCATTTCAATTTACCACAATTCACAGCAGTATGCAAAGAAGAAGTGGATAAAAAAACACAGAGTAGGTGAATAAATATAGGTCACTGAAAATGTTTGAAATTTCAAAGATGGAATGAGTGTTTGTATCTACATCCTTGTGACTGATTTTAAGCCATATCACCTAAAACATCTAACCAGTGAATCCTATCATTTATAAGACTTCAGTTAGACAGTCTATGCTTCTATAAAAAAAACTTAAACCAACAGTATGTGCATGTAATAACGTAGAGATAGCCAACATAGTCCTACAAAACAAAACTTGTTCAATTCCTTTACTGTCGTGTGGTCCTTGTCACTCATTGAACAGTGGAATACACCCATTAGATCATAGGAAAACACAAGACGTGGTTGCAGCGAAGAAAAATCCTCCTTTTCAACGAAGTCATTTACTAAGATGTACTTTCATGAATATATGTTACAATGGGCAGAAGGTTCCAAAATTATTCCCGGTTAGGGGGTAAAATATAGTGAGTAACTAAAGGAAGTTAATTCATGCACATTTGGGTTTAGAGTGGGAAAATAGACAAGGGATTATGAAATTAAATATAATTATGCAGTACAATGAATGTATAGCAAAGTAGGAAAATGAACAAGGGGTGGAGGAAATACATGTATGGTTACATAATACAGGATGAATCTACGAAAGTCAAAGCTTTGTGATGGCCATAGCAAACATAAAAGTTGAATGTGCCTTTTCGGATGCATAACGCTGGTTTGAACTTCTGAATCGCTAGTGATTCAGCTGTAGACAAATGCCTTGATCTTACTCCCTTCGAGTGGTTTGATCAAGAATTTTGAATAAGCTCTCAAAAGGAGTTAGTGACCTTAGTTCACAAGGTGTTCTGTTATTGAACAGAAGATACATTTCCGTTCTCCCTTTATCAGGCACGTTGGGTAGCGTTCACGGGCACGTTTTACAAGCAGACGCATAGTACGGCCTATGAACTCATCTCTACATGAGCAGGTAAACTGATATACACACGCTGATGTGGTCCAATACGTCGTCATTTTTGAATCCAAGATTCAACAAAAGAATCGGCACCAAATACATTTGAATTCAAAAATGATATTGCTAAGGATATCCTAAGGAAACGACTGTCAAAATCCTTAAAGAGGACATACTGCCAAACTTCGAATTGTTTCCTTCTGCAAGGAACATTTTATTGCTAGAATTGAGCCATGGAAAGTTCTAATTCAGAGGCGATTTTTCCGTTCAAATAGCCAATTTCCAACTTTAATTTTTACAGTTTTCACTTTATACTTATGAGTAGTCACTTTTTGGTTTTAAATGTTTTATCATGTGAAACTTCTCAAGACACTAGCTTTTCATTCACTCTGTTACTAACTGTTGTTTGCTCACTTTCCTATAGGTCCTTTATTTTTAATTTAAATGCTTAAAGTACCTCACTTATTTGTTCACACCGGTAAATATTTTGATACCTCCTGCGTTACTTTCATTCATATACTATTTTCTCGATCATAACCAGTTAACAATTATCTTTATGCCAACCACATCAATATTTTTGCCATCAGCTGTGAACATTAGTGATACATAAATGTGAATGCATAGCTTCTGAGGAAGACATCGTCGATAACGAGCATGTTTGCTTAAATTTTTATTATTATTATTATTTGTCAGCTGACTGTAGGTGCTTACACATTTTCGAGAGTACAAACAAACTACTTATAAGTAGCTAAAAAAATATGACGTTTTATAAGGTATGGTAATACTTCGTGACATTCCGCAGGTGGCAAAAATATTTTTTCAATGATTCTACTTTGATGAAGAATTCAAAGCTAACTCCTGACAGTCACTGAAATAGAGAAGATGGCGAGACAGCTTTTAAAAGGAATCACTGTGGAAATTCGAAATTAAAATCCACGTAGTCGTGCAATCATCCTCTTAGACAGAAAGTGTCAGTTAATTGAGTTTCTTTACTGAAACTTTGTAACATTCATTCGAAACCGTATAAAAGTTGCAATTCAGTATACAGGGGTTAATTATAATACAACTAGATTAGGTTTGTGTGGATTATGACTTTTGTATCAATCAATACTCCTAACTGCATCAGCCCGTCCCCTTAATTTTACGTAGAGTACACCACACCAGACTCTTCTGACGTTTATTTTGTAGTGAACTTTCTATATATTCACTCTCATTTCTGTTTTCCTTTTGCTTTTTATCTTCAAGGTTTTGTGTTATAATTATTGGGAATCTAATATTCAAGCTTGTTTAAATGATCCGAAAACTTTACAGTTAGATGTAAAAAAGTGTTGGCGCCTAGATTTTTCTGGTCAACCTTTATCTGAATATAATGTTGTTGATAATTACATTACATGCGTTGGTTATTGGATGGAAGATACAAAGTCGTTTCTAGTCACCTATGATAAAGAAGATCCTGTAAGTTAAACGATTATTGAAGTTGTGCTACTCCGTATAACTCTTCGTTTGAATTTCAAAATATCTTGAGCAGGAATGGACTGGACTGTTTGGACAAACTTTGGCCCTGAGTTAATGTGATTCATTGTATAGCGTTTATTCCACTTGTGTAGACCAGGCGTAGCATATTATAACAAACAGCCATGTAGAGAAACAGTTTGTATTATCCCTCCATCCTGCTACCAAGAGTATTAATGTCATATTCAACTTTTGGGTTAATATATAAATTTTTGTATGGAAGGTGATCTTAATGATCATTTGATCTTATCATCTTATAAAACAAGGATGCACGTAATTTACCTCACAGATTTAAAAAATAGGCCGAAGAAGCTTATTCAAATAAGGTAGCATGATTGACTTTAAAGGCTATTCTAACTACTTCTGAGATAACCAAATACCTTTCTTTATTTTATAAAAAAACGGCATTTCTAGCCGGAATACTGAAAATTGATTGGTCATTTCAGAGCCTGCTAAGGTAACCTTTAAAGTGACTTCATCTTGTGTAGTAAAATGGGATCAAATTGCCTTGGTCATGGCTAGTAGGGGAATCCAGGGTGTGCGTTTCGTCCTATTTGGTACTCATCAGCTGGATGCATCCCAGTGGGTGATATTGTTTCCACTGATACTTGAACCTCGTACCCGTCGCTTCAAATGCCAGTAAGTCACTGAGACAAGATAGTCATCCCTTGTATAACGAGTATTAGCTATTATTATTTGTTGGTACTTGTAATTCTACGTTGTTATACAGGATCAAATTGATTGACTTTTGTTGAAACATGAGCTACTATTTGGATGCATAAATATCACCTGAATATTGATTGTTATGATCAGCTTGGTTATGGTTAGCAGAAAATCACATATATCAAAAAACAATATTAACTTACAGCCGTTGTACAACGGTTGTCTATCGTACTTCAGTGTCCTAGTGGATGATACTTTCACGTTTGAAGTGCAGGATATGAAACTTAAGTCTCAGTGGGAATAGTATCACTCATTGGGGCGCAGGGACATCCAGCTGACGACTCCCAAATAGGATGACACGCCCGTCTACTTTAAATGTTTGGATTTTACTCCGGATTTGATTAGGTTTTCTTCGAATTCATTCTTTGATCTACAAATAATTGTTTTAATCGTTCTAACTATATTCAGTAACTGATCAACTTTCCCTATGAATCACGTATGTGAATTAAATGGTTAAATGGTCTTTGTAACGGGGAAGAAAGGGTATAACATTTTCTTAAAATTGAGTTAATATAAACCATGTGTGGTGTACTAGTTCAGCTGGTATGTGGTTCTCTTCTTATTCTGTTCATCTAACAATTCCTTTTTCTTAAGCTGATGGTACATGTAAATAAAGAGGTGGTCTACTGATACCCGAATTAAATATCACACTCATTGCAATAAAATTACTCTATAAAGGTTGATAACTTTTGATTGGTTAAAAGCAGTTTACTATTACTACTACCACTGTTAGTTTACCTGAAGTTGTTTAGAGTCAGATAACCACTTACACTATAGTGACGAAGCGTTTTTGTACTGAACAGTGGTTAATCTTTATTATATATTCGTATTCGAGACGATTTGATGACAACTGAGATTCTGACCACAGTCAGTGATGTAGTGGATAACGCACTGGCGTCTGAAGCGATCGCTCCCGAGTCCGAATCCCGATGGGAACAACACTCACTGTAAAGCAGGTACATCCAGCTGACGAGTCCCAAATAGGATGAAGTGCGCATCCTGGATTCCACTGCTAGCTATGATCCATCATTAACAGTCAGTAAAGGGTAAACAAGTCAAATTCAGTATATCTGAAGACTGACTTTCAACATTCATAAAAGACACAAGGACTGCTTGGACCTTGGGCTGTCAAAATTCTCCACCGAACGTATATATCAAATTGTTCCCTTCCACTTTGTTTTAATCATTGAAATATGTCATCTCAACGTATCATGTACTACTGAAAGGGGCAAAAGACAAGTATGCGGTAAGGAATGTCTGTTGTCAACAAGTGGGACAGCAGTAGTCGTTAAATATGGCACACCTTGAACTAAAACCGTCATTTGCAGAATGTACTTCATTTCCTCCTCTGCTTTTCTCTTGATTTGCTCTTCATACGCCTGCCTTGTCTCTTGAGTTTCTCTTGGCTGAGTCCTTACCCATTGTTGGTAATTCCTTATGATTCCTGCCACTCTCTCAACATATACTATTTATATCCATTCCTATCAGCAACGTCCACTACTTGCATACTTTTGGAATGTTTTCAACTTGCTGTTTCTCAAGTTAATATCACAACAGATAAAAAATATCATGTTCGATAAAGAAATGAACTTTTCAATGCGTAAACGTGAGCTTCAGATTCTTCTATTAGCTGAATGGACCGCCACTATCAAACTTACCCTCTTGTTTCTGTTGATTTTTTCTTATGGGTTGGATGCGAGTCCAAAACCAGCCGGCTGCCTAACATCATTGCTTTGAATACTGTTATTATTAACGTCATTCACATACAGTAGCTAAATCGTCTTAAAATATTCCTCTGGGAATGACTTCATTGAAAAGTTACATGCTAAGAATTCCATAATTTGTCATATATATTATTTAGACCAAAGCGATTATCATCGTTATTATTATTATTATTATTATTATTATTATTATTATTATTATTATTATTATTATTATTATTATTATTATTACTAAAGCATGCGTTACAAACACACGAAGATAAGGAAATTTGTGATAAAAAATATGAGTTACTCACTAGTAGTATAGGAAATGACACCCAATAAATGATGCATCATACAGTATGATCAACCACGTAAACGATAACCATGACACACAGAAAGTAATTTCTGATTTTAGGGTCTTTCACTGATGCAGATATGGACACCAAGCATTACTGACAAACTTCTTCGATTTATGATGCCCATATTCAAAAGATTCTTAATGAAGTAATTCGAATTTTGAAGTAGTTTTAAATATTCATAACTCACGAAGTGAATGTTCAAGTGTCGGTGTACTCCTCACTGAAATTATTCGTAGTAAAGTTTATAATAAAATATTAGCCATCACTTATTGTGGTACTGTGAAGTTGCACAAGTGGTTCGTTCTCAGCTAGTTATTTCGTATGCAGCAGTTTATTGTGAATACTGAATTTTAAAATGTTCGATCGGCTTATGGTGGTCACCTTTTTTTACTCGACAGTTTCTTAATCACTTGACTGCTGTGAACCCTGAGGGACCCTGCATTGCAACTACAGAAGATACATATGGAATTAGTTAGTTGTAGTCTACTAGGTAAACTTGTCAGAATGAGTCATTTGACGATGTAGAAAAATGTTGAATACCCAGAACGGGAATTCACGGTTGAGTATAAGTTAAAGTCGAACAGTATAGTAGCTGGAGTAAGATTCTGTATTAGTTAAGTTAATGTTATATAGGTCCCATAGATAAGGGACTCTTGACACGTTATTGCAACACCTGAGCAGTGATCTGCGGTCGCAATGTCATCCACTGTATCCTTTATCAAAATAACTTATTAACATGGAATTTTCTTATAAAGTTGCTGCACCCGTAAACAGAAAGAAAGAAAGTAACAACCAGTTAATCACTAGTGACACTGAAATGTTTATCTCTTGTTTGCATTCTCCATCACATGATTACATATTTTGCTAAGTACAATATCATTTTGAATTCTGTAGGCTAGCATTCCACCTTTGTATTCTGTTTGAGTTAACTGGTATTACTTTAATGGTAGAAAAATTAACTCAGAGCAATAAAAATAACAGTGACTTTGAAGGCTATTCTTACAACTGCTGAGATAACCAATTACCTTTCTCTGTTTTATGAAAAACGGCCTTTCTGGCCTTAACACAAAAACTTGATAGGTTATTTCAGAGGTTGCTATGGTAGCCTTAAGGTCACTCCATAAGAAGGGTAAACAAAGTAAATCACTAATGCGTTATGGATTAATGTCCAAGACACATTTTAGCCGGATAAATTCTCACACGTTATTCATCTGACTGGTGACTTAGTAACCTGGGTTTATGAACATAGTGGTGGCGTTTGTAAACAAGTTTTTAAACTGTAATTAATGTTTTTCTTTAGCTGTAAAGATGACGAAAACAAAGAGATCATATAAGTTTTACAACATTTACAAGAAAATGAGTGATACATTTTATAAATTCGTTTGAATCCCACCAATATGCATCTCTTATTTCTAGTTTTCCCGTTTAGTGGAGAATAAGTTATGCATCGATTGATCACTGGAAAGCAACCAATTTCATGTTGTTAGGCTTGAGTACTGACTGAAACCTACCGGTCATTTTTGCAGTGTGACCACCAATCAAGAAGCCTCAACATCGTGGTGCAATTCGATGGATATTAGATGGTCGAAGGCGATCGGGAGGAAGACCTGTTAGACCTAGGTTTCGTGCTTTTTGGCATTCTTCAGCAAGACGTCTCTGCAACCTCAAGGAAACTGATGTCCCGTGTGATGGTCGAACCCACATCACCGAGTGTTGCAGTCAGCGATACTAACACTGAGCTATTCAGGTAGCAATTTATCTCGTACAGGACTGGTTTACGCTTTGCTGACCAGTGTCAACAATCACGAAACCTAGATTGATCAGTGCTTCCTGCCGATTACCTCCAATCAACTTACATCCAGAATAGGTTACCTGTTCCTTCAAATGTAAAGTCTTAAAATATTCAGTATCTGTGCCACTGATTCCTATTACTTTAGACCAGTAAAAATAGCATTATTATCAGTAGTAATATTATTACTATTGTTATTGGAATTGGTTTTCACAATCTTCCTCTTTTTTCATTATTATCCAGGTTACTAATAATTTCCGTTGTTGGATCTATAAACGCCTAGGTTTTCGTACATATCTTATGTCACGTGGTCGTGGTAATCGTTGTTCTAAAATTCAAACCGCTGAATCATCTCTACCTCAAGAAGGTGCATCATTATTATTAGAGTTAACCGAAGATGAATATCAATTGATGTTTGCCCAATGTCATGGGATGATGGACGTAATCCATATGCTAATCCAGCTATATTAGATGTTTACGCTAGTAGTTGTACAATATACCCATTAAACAGTCTACTGATCTCTGTAATTTTTATGCATATTTTATATTATATTACCCTTCGTAATTATTGGATTACTTTCGACCTGTGAACAAGATGCTTTGTAAATTTCTTTCAACTATTTCAACTGCTTTCTGAGTAGTCTACGTGAGAAGATCTTTGATGTTTGTATAAATCATTGTGATTAGTTCCGTCATAATTTTTCCTATTTTTATCCATCTATCTGAAGAATAAATGTATATACTTAATCTTTAAGAATTTTTTGCAAAGTTAAACAGTAGATTATTATTTTGGTTGTGCTCGATAGCTGTTATAATCGACTTCACAGTCTGCTTGGAATTCATTCGTTGAATATGTCTTAGCGTTGATATAACCGATTCATAAGTTTATATGGATGCTGTTTTGAAAGAAGAGTAAAGCACTTTGAATAAGTAATCCATCTTAACGAACATAGCATTACCAAGAATTGTATTAGTGAACGAAACATCTATACTAACATCTAAAAAGAATCTAGCTCTCATACATAAAATATTACAGTCTTACTCATTATAATACTCGGTAAAAACAATCCCTACTTTTTGAGTACGCAATGAGTTACCTTTACGGTTTTCAATATTTACCACTTTTGTTAAGAGAATGGCAACTTTCACCTGTTGGCAAGAAGCAACCAACCGCCGAGTAACCGTTGGTTTAAATTTGGGGGTTTGTGAGGATCAAGAGGTTTTTCAAGTTGGTATTCATCATGGACTGTTATCAGTTGGAGGAACATTGGAAATCTGGGAGCACTGCATAGCTGTTTCGTCCTTGTGTGGGACTCCTCAGCAGTGCTCACCTATAACCAGGTAATGAATCGATCCAAGGACCTTCAGGTTCTACAAGTGAACCACTAAAGTCGGAATCCAGTGGTTCATATTTCCAACTTCTGTTAGTTCACCACATAGCACGACCATCACGTACTGTCACCGTTGAATATTTGTCCTCACGGCCACCAGGTTTGCTCATTGGTGACTAGCTTCGAGAGGTCATTCCTAAAGTTCCAATGAGAAGTCGTGACCAGTGGGACAAACCCAGTGGCCGTGTAAACAACTACTCAACGATGACATTAGGTGATGGTCACGCTATGACGTAACTGACAGGAGTTGGAAATATGGACCACTGGATCCCAACCCAGTGGCTCAATGTTAATGTGCTGGCCAGCAACCTGGAGGTCCTAGTCATGGGTGTGCACTGCTGAGGAGTCCGATACAAGTGGGATGTGACTGACGTCCAGTGCTCCATGGTTTTCAATGTTCTTTCAACTGATGTCAATCCATGATGAATACCAACTTGAAAGACCGTTGGTTTGTCATTGACTGACTGTCTTCCCATCCGATAACTAGTTGATGGTTATTTTATCTCACTGTATTGTAATCTACTTGATGTCTTGCATTGAACCCCAGCTTGACGCTCGTTTCGTCCAATTTGAGATTCATCAGCTGGATGTACCTGCACCACAGTGAGCGATGTCGTTCCCTCTGAGACTCGAACACAGTATCCACCCTTTTGAAACCTAAGGCGTTATCACTGGGACACGATGGCCACCATCACGCACGTCATGAATTCCACTGCTAGCTATTAAATAGACATTATATGGATATACAGATACTATCCAGGCATCTGCATAGGCACTTATTTGCTAAGAGATGTCATGCAATTCGACGTAGTATAGCAAAAGTATCAATAAATGGTCACCATATCTCAGATGAAATTTTTGATGGTTTACTTTGTCATCATATACACATACAACTTCAGGGAAGATGTTGCATTGGTGAACCGCCATGAATACATAAGTTTGATGTTACCTGTCGTTTCTGATGGGGAAAAGTTTCTAGAACCCACCAATGAAAGGAATAAGACGGAACATAACAAATAATAATTAGCCCAAATTCTTTCACATTAGTTCAAAGCGTCCAACAGGGCTGAGGACAGGTCTGTTAAAATGAGTCAGTCGATGCTTTCATTTGTTCTGTATTATGATTAAATAAATAAATTACCTTGAGAAAACAATACTGTTAAGTAGTACAACCCATTGCAATTAGTGATTACATCACAATATCATCATCTGACTCTTTTATATCTAAACCGATAATCGTTTGAACCCAATATGTTGCTTTCTTTTGTAAAAACGTTGGTGAATGTGACCGACTCATTGTTAAACATGGTTTCTTCGTATTTTGTTTCATATCTAAGTTATTTTATATAATTTATTCATCAATATACTCATGTGAATTCTGTTGGCTTGAGTTAAACACTGAAATCTATAGAACATAAGCTTATCCTAGTTCACCAAGTACAACTAAATAAAACAATTAAAATTGATGATTGAAATTTTACGTTCAGTTTGTATTCTAGAGTACTTTTCAAAGTTTACATCAGCCAACAAGCCAATGAAACTAAGAACCACTACTGAAGAGTCCGAGGTGTTAAGAAAAAGCAGCTGTTTAGTACTACTCATTTTTCCATAGCTGTATGGTTGATACAACTTCATGATGAATAATGTTGAAATTAGTTGATTTTCAGGAGGACTATTTAAATGAATAATAGTTTGATCCTCATTGGTGAATGACTTGATTACAGATTTTTCAGTTTTAATGTACTTAATCAGTTAGGGATGAAAGTAACTTCTCACTGATGATGATAGCAGTAGTGTCATCGCGGGACTTGATATCTATCAACTCAATCTTGTTTGAGTTCATCAATCCATGCAATTGGAAAGTCTCAGACTCAAATGAAGAAGCGTTTAGGTACCCCAACACTTTCTGCTATTCATGTCAGTCAATGATAAAATCTACTGTGACAAACTTGTCTGTTTCTAGGAGCAAATTATCCTATCGAGATGAATATTTGTCAAGGCGTCACTGTATTTATTTGTATATTGATAGTAAATGTATAGTTTTTTGATTCTACAGAGAAAATTATATGGTATTTGTGGCATTGGATAGAGGTCATATAGCATAAGTAAGGTACTGACACACTTGTTGGTCATTTGGCCAGTAGGCTATTGGTGGATAAACATTTGAGTTCCTTTTCGAGGTAGTTTCGAAACAAGTAATGCTACCAAAGATGCTTACATATTTTATTCTTCTGTCTTTCCTCTGTCAGACAGCAATTTCCGTTCATTTTCTGGTGTCTGAAGAACTTGAAAGCTGGAAAGATTGAAAAATGTCATTAACTGATATGAATAAGGTAACCGCTAATTACCGTAATGATCCATGAACCACAAACATCATATACTTCTGAGGTTTTAGGAGACAAGCAGTTAGTCACAGAGATCAAAATAAACCTAATTTGAGGTATTAACTGGTGGCTTACGTGTGCACATTTGGTCAGAGGAGAATTAACAAATCAAGCTGTATCAGCAACATCTCTAATCGAATGGATGTAATGTATTTCACTAGGCATTGGTAAGCTGTCTTGTATTATGACAATCTAGAAACTATATGCACTGATCCTACAATCGAAATTAATAATCTGACTTGAAGAATCTCTGAGTTTCAGTTGTTTGTTTCCTACGGTATGCGGCAAGGAAACTACATAACGTTCGGTTTCTGGGGACAGGAGAGAGTCAAATTAAAATGATGAAACAATTTGAAGTGTGAGGAGTGATCGAATTGCAAGATTTCCTAAAGACACTGGTCTCTTAACTTCCATCTTGTTTCCTTTTCATCCTGCAATAAAAAATATTTACCTGTGAACTAGAAAGTGATAAAGGTGAGTTAGTAATTATAAAGTAATCAGGAGGTCAACTTTTCAAATGATAACAATTTCCAACATCGATGAATGTAAACAAATTGATTGAACTGTCATATCTTATCTACTAAAATTAAGGATTCAAGGTTTAATATCAGTTGACAACATGGATATAACTGTGACAATCAGTTATGTAGAGAAACAGAAAAGCAGTTGTGTGACCTAGACCACACAGCAGCAATGTCAACTTGATTCCTTATCTAATCATCAACAGTTGATACTCTAACTGGGCTGTGAGATAGCACCAATGAATTTTCTAGTCCTTATCCCAATGAACAGCAGTAATCATAGAAAATAAATAGTGTAAAACTAGGACAGTGTGGTCAAATGTAATTCAATATTAAATTTGTTTATTTGATATATATCGGAAATTGATACATTATAATCTGATTGATGATGTTTCAAGCATAAATTATTGCTCATAATCAAATCATAACACTGATACATATCAAATAGATGAATTTTTGAGGGAGTTGTGGAGATTTGGAAACATTTCAAGTTGTTATTCATCGTAGACTGACATCAGCTGAAGAAACAGTGGAAACCTGGGAGCACTGGACAGCTGTTTTGTCCTAGTATGGGACTCCTCCTGAGCAGTTCGCTGGCCGTGGAACCTGAAGGTCACGGGTTAGATCCCTGATGGACGAAACAGCTGTCCAGTGCTCCCATATTTCCTTTGTCCTTCCAACTGGTATCAGTCTATGATGAATAACAACTTGAAATATATTAAATAAACAAATCTAATATGGAATTACATTCTTTCACAGTGCCCAACTTTTACACTTATTTTAATGAAACTTATGGTTTTCCTGTTCGAAGTCTAGTCAATAAACTTACACAACTTTCACAAACTTAAGCACATTTCACAAATCATCGTATTTTCAATATATGTTGTACGAAAAATCAAATTATCCCTAAGTATCTTCGTCTACGTCTCTTCCAATATCTACTGACAAAATCAAAACAGCAATAGAACATGTCAGAAGACTTTGTCTCAAGGAAGAAATTCACAGGATTATTAGGAAGTGAAGTACTATCCGGAATAAAATTGAACAAGTGAAATGTAAAGTTATGAAGATAATAAACAGCAGAGACTATGAATTTCTTATAAAAAAATATCAGATAAAGCTGCTTTCATGAGATTTGGAAATAATCAAATCAAAAGGTTCAACAAATTATTGCA